TGTCAGAGGTGGAGGTCATGGATTTTCAGAGATCCAGCCCTGCACCAGCGGATCAATGGCAGCATGCAGTTCTTTGAGGTGGTGAAGGATGTGAGGGTAGGTGCAAGTCGGTGGGTGCATCATGAAAAAAGGATGCTTTTTAAAACAAGAACCGTTCAGTTGCTTGGATTTGCTTTGGAACAGTATGCGCCCTTAGGCTTAGGTCATGAATTGCCGTACATAGCTCTTTCTCCTCAGTGCACTGTGCACTCTTCACCTTTGGCATTTTTTGGCATTCAATCAGAGGCTTGCCGCACAAAGCTCCAATTGCGTTCACTCAAACAAACGAGGAAAGCCCAACGGTGGTGATTCTGGAAGTCGGCATCAAGGGGAGCTGCATTCCAGAATTCACAGAGGCGCGGCGCACCAGAATGGGAAACTTCCCACGAGCACAATGGAACCGGATAGACTTGAGGTTTGTAGGAGTCAAGTCAGTCCTTGAGCGTCAGCAGCATTTGCTTGTACTAGATGGCTTCCACTTGGCGGGCATGTGTCTTTGGTGTAGGCTCACCTTGACACAGAAAATACTTGCGGCATGTTGTGGCGGATTCTCTCAAAAAGTTGTGTGATTGGAAGCAGCTTCAAAATGTCACATCGAGTGCATGACAAGCCACGCATCCCAGAAAAAAACAACACACCCTAGGCCAGAGCAAATGGTGGGTAGATAGAGCAAATGGTGGGGTTTCTTTGGATGTTAGCTTTGCAGTTTGCCGGTTGGGTCGGCATGCAGGTGATGAGTGCGAATTGCCGAGGATCCCGCAATGAAGTGGGCTGCTTGCGTTTCGACCTGCTGCGCAGTACAACCAAAGCAGACACCTTCATGTCCTATGAGGTGGGCTGCTCAGGTTGGAGGCCATCGCTAGGAGGTTGGAGGTGAGAGGTGGCGCAGGTCGGATGTCGATGCCTCGCCACATCCTGAACTTGAGGCATTTGAATCCCCAGACTCACTGGAGATCCACAAGGACATGCCATATACAAAGGCTTGGGGTGCTTTCCAATATGGAGAAGCTCGGTTTGCGAATCGACCTTGCAGCTAGTGCACTGGAGATGATCTCGGATATCTACAGATGTGCAAGTGAAGGTTGAGTGGGGTTGACAGTTGAGATTTTTGTACACGTATTACTTTGTGGTAGCCCTGGTAGCTCCCGGATGCAGTCACTTAGGACGAACAGTTGTTTCATTGTTTATAGCGTCTGGAGTCTACACCGGTGTCAGCCTTCGACGCTCAGGACCAAAAGCCTGTGACCAGCAAGAGAGTGTCTAGGCAAGTTCAGGTCATGATCTCACCATGGCTTGGTCGATAGGACTCGACAGAGCTCAAAGCTAAGGAGCCTAATGAAATCTGGTCTAGTGGACCGGACCTTCATCTTGATGTCTTGGGTTGAGTCCTTGGGTCGTCATGACAGATCCAAGGTGGTCAAGTACAATGTCATGGACCTTCACGCCCCTGAGCTCCTCAGCTGAGCCCGAAGATGAGTTCGACTCTGTGCCCCTGCTGAGCCAATGGGCCCGGTGCTACCCGTGCAAATCGGCCGGCAGTGAGCCAGGTTGACTTCCGACGCAGTCTATTCGTGGCAGGCGTTTGACAAAGTCAGAGTCGGGCACTTTTCGGACCAGTTGCACATGGTTGCACTGTCTCCTGAGTCCACGGGAACCCCACATATGTGAACAACCTGGTGTCAAAGACAGTTTCGGACTAGTTTGCCATTGTGGTTATTGTTTGGATGCCCTTAGAAAGGTTATAGCCGCTGATAAACATTTGGTGTGCACGACTTTGTCAAGAAGTCCTGTCGATACTTACTAGGATTATCTAGGATTATCAAGTTTGCGGCATCGCAAAGAGTCAAACAAAGAAGTGCATGCCGGATCATGCATAGAGACTGGGTGCTCCAAAAACCTCAACCATTTTAGGCTAAATATACGGCAGTCGAAGAAAGACAAAATAACACACCATGTTTAGGCAAGAGGGCACAAGAGCAGGTTGCGGCAGAGAAGAACATGCATTCCATGTGTTTTGTTTTTAAAGCTCGGGCCCCATGATTCTAGAGATGGTTTTAGGCTTGAAGAGGTCGTGCACTTGATTCTAGAAAGAGTTTGTGTTTTTGTTTTGCAGTCCTTGGCTTTGCAATGCTTTGCTTAGATCCACTATAATTTCAAGGGCCTGATGAATTCCTCTGCCCTTGTAGCTGCTCTAGAAACACGAGGTTTCTCGCCCCATTGATGTGTATACAATTTTGTTGTTGTGGCTTTTACCCTCAGGCATCTTGATTTTTATAGAAGCCATGTGTTGCTTATTATTCCTTTTTCTGACATGTTTGTTTGATTTTGTGAGCTCAAATTCCATACTATATAGATGCATTTTCTAGGTGAATGATTTTTTTATTACAGTAAGTAAACCTGATGTACCCACAATTAGGCTTCTAAAATGGTCTGCACTGACCTACCCCTGAACTCTCGAGGACGATTTTTTGTTTTCAGGAACGGAGAGCTGGTGGTTTTGGGTGGCGATGAAGGTGGCATTGGGAACCAGGAGCCAGCACCACAGAGTGCGCTTCTCAGCATGGCCGGCCATAGTCATGACCACATGTCACCTACTCGCAAATGGATGAAAGGTTCTGCTGATATTTGCTAGTCTGAAGATCCTTCGAAGACCCCCGAGATCTCCCGAGCCTTCGAGATACCTCTGCATAATGGCAGAGTAGTTGTGAAATCGTTGCGTTCAATAAGCACGGTTGATCTTGCTCCTGACAAGTCTTTGGCTTAAAAGACGTCGAATCTCAATTAATAATTGAGCCAGGATAACATTGATGTATAGCATTTTTGTACATGCCCGGTTGCTGTCTATACTTCTCGGCCAACTCTTACGGATTTGTATCGAGCTAACCCTCGCCCAGACGATCTTTGGCGCAGCACTGACGGCAAGACTTGGGCGCACGACCCAGTGGCTAATTGATCTCCACCCCTAAATCCGGCGTCCAGAAGCTTGCTGGGGCCACTCAACTGGGGCTCTTGGGCTGGCCCTGGGTAGTTCAATTGACAGAAGCTGAGAGGAAGTTCGTCCCCACTGGGATGGAAATATATCCAGTTGCATCTTCTTGCTTAAGGCAGAAGCCGACATATTCTCGTTGCTGTTCTGTGATGCTAAGGCCGAGTCGGGAACCATGCCGTGGGCTCCACGGAAATTCCTTGGCGTGCGGGACCAAGAGCCAACAGTAGTGTCAATGTAAGTACTTCAATATACAAATTTATATTGCATGATTAGTAACCAACTTGGATGGGATCAATGGTCAAGGCTACCGCAGGATGTTCGGAAGTTTGGGAAGTGAGCTGTATTTTCACCATCAGAACTGAGTTGTTTGGATACTTGTGGGAACTAGATTTCGCTGTTAGGACCTACTTTGGTTTATATAGAAAGCTGTTGCACATCATCTGACAAGTCAGGGTGATCCTCAGGCCGTAATCGATGAGGCGGACCGTAGAAGGCTCAGACTTCCTCAGCCAGCGGGCCTGGGGGGAAAGCATCAACCGTGAAGCCACTATTAGATTGAACATATTTGCTAGACGGCAAATGCTGCTGCATATGCTTACAATTGTAGGGCAAACAGTCCAAGCAGTGCAATGGACCTTTGTCCTTCACAATTATTTACAGTAGCTTTGGTGCCTGCTTGATGCATAGCAAGTGGTCCAGCTTTGTGTTGCCGTGGTTTTTTCATGAAGGGCCCGGGACCACTGCAGGTATTTACATCGCTGGTGGCTTGGGTGGCCATGGCAGTGGCGGATTCAATGACCTTTGGATCTCTGAGGCCTGATATGCCTTAGGAACAAGAAACTACTAGGGGCTCCTGGCATCGCTACTAGGAGCAAGGACGCTACTAGGGGCTCCTGGCCTTACTACTAGTAACAAGAAACTACTAGGAACAAGAATTGCTGTAGAAGTACTGTAGAATTAGTATTCAATTATTGTAATATTCATTATATTCATTACCAATTATAAAGGAAAGAACCGTAACACCGTAGAGACTTAGTAGAAACAGGACTGACCGGATTTCAATTCATGAGGACTTCATGGGATGCACCACATGCCGTGCCTCTTGGGGGACAGCGAATGGTCAAGATTGGTCACCAGCATTCCCACTGCTTAGAGCTGCTAGTGACGCTAGTGCTGAACAAGGCATTGAGCTGTCAGGATATGGGGAGGAGCTGGCGTGCAGTGGTTTTGGCAGCGCCATGGAGTGTGCATGACCCAGTGTTGAGCGATGATTGACAGTCTGCCATGGGCACAAAGTTCTGCAGAAGAGCTGTCAGATTTCTGTGGTCTATGTTGAAACTGGAATGATTGGACAATGGGTTGGCATCAAACCGGGAAAGCAATCCAATGTTGTTGGCTTCAATTGGGCGAGGGCAAGCACAAGCAGCGACGGCAAAATGTGCTCGTGAAGATGGGAGTAGTAGGAAATGTGATGGGGTGGCACAGCTTGAGAAAACAATTTTCAACGATGGGCGCTTGGGGCAAAGCTTTTTGGGACACCTTTGCAGTGCCGTTGTCAGTCCTTGAGATCGTCTAATGATGTACTGCCGCCATGTGCCCTCTGAGGGGCGATATTCCTTTGCGCTCGTGCGCGCGTCCAAATCTCAGTTCCTGCAGACATATGACTGGGCCCTTATGATTTACGAACCTGAAGATGATACGATTGTGACATGTTATGGCCTTCGATCTTGTAGACCTCAGAGCCACCATTGAGCAGCGCATCAGTGAACATCAGTTCTTCCTGTTTTTCCATGTTTTTCGTGATTTCATCAACGCAATGTTTCCACCCTGCCCGTTGCTTTTTGCGATACATTTCAGATCAAGAAGCGCCCTTGGTTCCTGGGGGGCGATGTTCCGGGGTTTCTTGGGGCCTGGGTCAGCCGGGCCCGGAGCTGGAACATCGGGCTGGTTGGAGCAAGCTCAACGTCCGGCCATGCCAGAAGCCAACGGTGACTTGATGGAATTTCTTACTGTGTTTGCATGTCTTTGTGAAAGACATGGACAATGAACACCCGGTACGGTATAATATCACTTCACGAGCGCTAGTAAGACATCATTCTTCACGAGCGCTTGTGACCATTTGGTTCAGGCTCGGGCTAAGTTGGTGTGGCTTCCATGGCATGCAACTATAAGGGTTGTAGGTCTTCTATGTCATGGCACTGCATGTACGGTAAGTTTGCAAGCCTGGAAACTGAGCTGTATAGTATATACGGATGTGTATATACTTATTTCTGAGCTGAACGTTTGGAGTCAGGGCCGATGCTTCTTTTCGGGCTGATTGGCGCACACCTCGCAGGTGATGTTAGATCATATGTCCGACGTGAAGTGGAGACGGTGGCCGCTTCCATTCCTCAGCAAGCCGCGTCTCCGCCAGTACAACTCATCATACAGAACAGCTCAAGCGTCAGCGAAACCAAGCCTGAGAGAGAGTTGCCACCGCGAAAGATGCCGCAAGACTTTTGGCACCTATCGAAGAAGGATCTCACCGATTTTTTGGCATCTCCGCTGAACCTTGCCTGTTAACTTACAATATTTTACCACAGTAGTTCTTGATGTTTTTGAAAGAGCAGTTGGCGCAATGCCCCCATATTAACTTCCTTTTCTCACCATCTCTCTGTGACAGTGTCACAGAGTGACACACTTTTTCATCCTTCTTCGATGATCGGTTGATAACACTTCATCTCAGACCGAACCATTTCTTGTTGCCTTCAGCTGGGCCCAGGAACCAGGTTTGTCTCGTAGGCCTTGCTGGCTTCGCCTTGTGGATTTACCAGGCCAAATCAGAGTATCCTGGGCACATATGGCGCTCGGGATGGGTGAATATGATGGCTGATCTAGGCCTCTCCAGGTTGGGCAGCCCACGAAACTGGCAAACCCTGTCGATAGGAGAATCCTGTTGGGTAAGCAATCAGGAAATGCAGTGAAGCAACTGCTACAAGAAAGCATGAATAGTGGTCAACCCGGAAAAAGTTGCGTTTGTGTTGGGGAACAATGTTGACATGGTGATGCCTGCAGATGCGTTGGATGCCAGACTTGTAGATTGCACCAATCTGTTCGTACAGAAGTCTGAAGAGCGGCCGAGGGAGAAGAGAAACACAATGACTCCGAAATCTCCGAAGCAACACCGTGGATTTGAGAGAAAGAAGCTACTAGGAACAAGTGCATCGCTTCTAGTAACAAGTGCCTTACTAGTAGTAACAAGAAGCTACTAGGAACAAGTGCCTTACTAGTAGTAACAGGTGCCTTACTAGTAGTAACAAGAAGCTATTAGAAACAAGTGCCACGCTAGTAGTAACAAGTGCCTTACTAGAGTGAGAGAGTTGTTTGGGCTGCCGAGTTGCACTGGTCACCGACTCAGGCATCAAACGAGGATGCTTGAGATGCAGCGCCGGATAGACAGCCGGCCTTTATTCAGCATTTTGTATTGAGGTGTTGGTATTGAGATAATAAACAATTATAAACAGATATATATAGATTATATATATTTTCATAAAATGCACATATAATAGCATATATATATAATATATAGAAGTGTTGTCCCAATTAATTGGACAGATCTAAAGGAAAGGCCAGTAGCCGACTGATAAGTCTACAGTAGTGAGTCCAGTGGAAGAACGTTCTTGGAACCGAGTTCGTGCAATAGCGCCATGAGGACAGCAATCCGTTCATGAAGCTCATGTCGATGATCCTGGCTCCGAAGGAGGACAATCCCTTCATCAAGACGGCCTCGTCGGTCTTTAGCCCATCTACATGGCCAAAGTAGCTTTCTTGGCAATGAAGTGAGCAGGGAGCGGAAATGCAGGCAATCATAGCAAGACGGCGATCCATTGTCAAACACACCATGAAACATGCTGAGCCTTAATAAGTTGCAATCAACCGACGCGAGCCTGCATTCATGAAGTGTAGGACAGTGTAGGAACTGGCAAAGCATGTTCCACCTTTGCAGTGTAGATAGCTACACCATCAAAACAAACCGACTTTGGTGAAGGGACCAAAAGAGGAGGCTGCATGACTGCATTTGTCAATTGTGCATCATGAGTTCTCATGAGTTCTGAATGTTCTGGATCCTTTTTCAGGAAACAATTGAACAGCCCGCAGGCATTTTCCAGCACTGCACGAAAAAGCCCCGCCCTGTCCAGCAAGTGCGACTCGCCATGGCAGCCGAACTGAAGGCTGAGATTGAGGCGCTCGTTGCAAAGATCTCTGACAAGTCAGAAGGTCAATCTGCTCTTGAGGGCTTGGCCAAGATCGCTGAGGAGAAAGGCCGGCCGGCCGAGCCCTTCCTGGTGTCCGCCTTTCCAAAGATCCTGGAGGCTTCCAATGATAAGTCCAAGAACGTGAAAGATGCAGCTGTGGCCACCAGCAAGACCATCATGGGTATGGTCTCGCCCTTCGCAGTGGAGATGCTGCTGCCAGCCTTCTTGAACGGCTTGGCAGTGAAGGCTAAACCACCACAGAAGGAGGCCACCTTGCAGATCATCTCTGCCTTGGCTCAGAAGGCACCTCGAGCCGTTGGCTACTTGCTGGTGAATTTGGTGAGCCCAGTGGCTGACCTGACGTGTGACATCAAGAAGGAAGTGAAGCAAGCAGCCCTGGAATGCATGACTTCCATTTGCAACTGCACTGGTAACAAGGACTTGGAGCCTTTTCTGCCAGCAGTGGTGGATGCTGCTTCCTCCATCGACAAGACTCACAGCTGCGTGGAGAAGTTGGCAGGATGCATCTTCGTGCAGAACGTGGAGGCGCCTGCCCTGGCGGTCACCATGCCAGTGCTCACACGAGGCTTAAACGACAAGAATGAGGAGGTGAAGCGCACCTGCTGTCAGATCGTTGACAACATGTGCAAGTTGGTGGAGGATCCTGCAGAGGTGCTGCCCTTGATGCCCAAGCTGGAGCCTTTGGTGAAGAATGTGTGTGAGAAGATTTCCGACCCCGAAGCCCGAGGAGTGGCTGAGAAGGCCTACAAGACCTTGCAGAAGGCGGCTGGAGAGGGAGCTGAATCCATTCAACAGGTCTCCATGGAAGCCGCTAAGAAGCAGGTCGAAGATGCCCTTGGTGACAAGAAGGGCTCGGGAGAGGTCTATGAGGCTGAGCTGAGCCACGTGTCAGCTCTGGCAGCTTGTGCTGCAAATATGCGGGTGTTTGAAGACTCTGCATGGAAGAATGATGTGGGCTACTTGGCCCCCTTCGATAGTGTCACTGAGCAGCTTCGTGCGAAGATGGAGGTGGCTGCCAAGCCCAAGGAGGAAGTGGAAGAGGAAGACACCGAGGGTGTAGACCTGTACAAGGGTGCTTTCTCTTTGGCCTACGGAACTTTGACACTGCTGCGGGATGCCAAGATGCACGTGAAGAGGAATCGATTCTATGGCCTTTTGGGCCCGAACCAGTGCGGCAAGACCACGCTCATGCGTGCCATCGCCAATGAACAGTTGGAGGGCTTCCCAAAGCGAGATGAGCTGAAGAGCGTCTTTGTGGAGCATGAGATTGAGGATGAGGAGGTGGGTGTGCAGGATGATGGATTTCCCATCCTCTCAGTGGACAAGCCGGGTTGGTGGTGGGTGGTTCACACCTGCAACGACGTTTACAAGCTGGAGCCTCCGGTGAAGGAAGACACCGTGAAGGAGCTGATGAAGTCCATTGGTTTCGGCTACCCAGGCGGCCCAGATCGTGCTGCCAACCTGGAGCTGCCTGTGACATCCTACTCAGGGGGCTGGAAGATGAAGATGCAGCTGTGCGCTGCTCAGCTGATGAATGCAGATGTCTTGATGTTGGATGAGCCCACGGGTCACTTGGATGTGGACAACATCAAGTGGTTGGAAGATTGGTTGGAGTCCTTCTCGGGTTCCATCATTTGCACTTCTCACTTCAGCCCCTTCCTGGACAAGATGTGCACACACATTATCGATTTCCAGGACAGAAAGCTCAAGACCTTCAAGGGGGTGAAGGGAACTTGCTTGACTCAGTTCGTGGAGAAGTACCCTGAGAAGAAGGCATACTTTGAGATCAGCAACGAGACCATGAAGTTTGTTTTTCCAGAGCCCGGCCCCTTGGAAGGCGTGAAGAGCCGCAGCAAGGTCATCCTCCGCATGAACAACGTGAGCTTTACCTATCCTACCAAGGAAAAGCCGACCATCATGGACGTAAGCCTCACCGTTTCACAGGTGAGCCGCGTGGCGGTCATTGGCGCCAATGGTGCAGGGAAATCCACTGCTATCAAGGTCTTGGTGGGAGAGCAGCTGCCAACTGAGGGCTCAATTTGGAAAGCACAGGGCCTGCGATTGGCCTACGTGGCTCAGCATGCCTTCCATCACTTGGAGAAGCACATGCAGGAGACCCCTACGGCATCTCAGACAGCCGTGGTAAAGCTTTGATGCAAACATTTGCTCCGTTTATTGTACAGAATGGAACATGTCAGGTGAGGGGCGGTTGCTGCCATACAGTGAACTCGTAGCTGTTGCTAGTGCTGTTGCTATTGCTGTTGTGTTTTGCATCGTTATCGCCAGAATGCTTCTTGCGGTTGTTTCGGTTGCGGTTCTTATTGTTGTGGCAGGGATATGTGTCGTGTTGAGTCGTGTTGTTGTTCTTCTTCTTTCTCCAAGGCATACATCATGTGGCGTTTCGCGGGAAACGATGACCGTGAATCCTTGGAGTTCAAGACTGATGAGTTGTCCGTAGATGAAGAGAAGGCTCGTTCCCAGAAGTGGTGCATTGACAGCGTCACCGGAAATGTGCGACGCTGCACGGATCCCAAGGAGGATGCCAAAAAAGCTAAGCAGGATGAAGCTGGGGCCGTTATTCCCGATGCCATCGTGAACAGGCGTCAGAAGAAGAAGGAGAAGACCTTCGAATACGAGGTGAAGTGGCAGTTCAAGAGCATGGATCAGAACGTCTGGGTCGAGAAGGACATCCTGGTGAAGATGGGCTACCTCAAGTTGGTGCAACGAGAAGATGAGCGACAAGCAGCCATGGCTGGGTTGATGACGAAGCAATTGACTCAGCCGGGAGTCGAGAAGCACCTGGCCGACTTCGGAGTGGATGCTGAGAGTGCCTCTCACACTCAGATCAACCAGCTTTCAGGTGGCATGAAGGTGAAAGTGGTCTTGGCTGCAGCCATGTGGCAAAATCCCCACGTCTTGATCTTGGACGAGCCCACCAACTACTTGGACCGTGAGGGTTTGGGAGCGTTGGTCTTGGCCATCAAGGACTACAAGGGTGGTGTGCTGATCATCTCCCACAACAAAGAGTTCTGCGACAATGTGGCCACTGAGAAGTGGATCATGCAAGGTGGGCGCTTGCGCATTGAAGGTGAGTCTGTGGACACCTCCAAAGATGACGCAAGTGCCGCGCAAGGTCCAGATGAGGTCTTTGATGGAGCAGGGAACAAGATTGAGGTGAAGAAGAGCATGACCATGACTGAGAAGGACAAGAAAAAGGCAATCAAGGACATCGAGAAGAAGATCAAGGATGGCAAGAAGAAGCAGACCTTGACTGACGAAGAGGTGTGGGAGCTGGAGGACAAGCTGAATGAGCTGAAGGAAAGCTTGAAGGGCAAGGAGTGAGTGCACTGAGCACATCTGAGAACTAGATCTCTAGCCGCTGTGTGCTGTTTTCGGCCACATGGGCGATGATTGTGTCGCTCTGTCGAGGGTCCCTGGTCCCTGACTTGGTGAAAGCTTCTGAAAGCACCAAGAGCTGAAGCTGCGGAACGGGGACACAAAATGAAGGCCCCCTGTCACGCATGTCTTTCCATTGGCTGAATCCAATGACTATGAGAGATGTGGCAGCTGCAACTGAGGCCGGGTGGCATCAACAAAGGTAGCCAAACGCTTAGAAGTTGAGAGACCTTAGTCACCTAGTCGTGAGTTGGTGCAGGCACAGCTCTGCATATTGGGGCTTCAGTTGCCCTTTAATCATGTTACGGCTGTGTGAGCTGTTTAGGCATTTTTGATAATTTTTGGTGCTGCAATGCTCGCACAGCAGACATTGATGCGTAGCATCAGCTCAGAGCATGACGTTCGAAGGAGGTGATAGTAGCGGTATATTGCTATAGTCAAAGGAAGTTTAGTGTACGAAACTTCCGTGTTAGGGACATTCAAGAACTGTTCATACACCACTAATCATACACCACTCATCATACACCACTCATCATACACCACTCATCATACACCACTTCTCATACACCACTCATCATACCCCTCATCAGTGGTGTATGATGAGTGGTGTATGATGAGTGGTGTATGATAAGTGGTGTATGATGAGTGGTGTATTGATCAGTGGTGTATTGATGAGTGGTGTATGATGAGTGGTGTATGATGAGTGGTGTATGATG